CAAAGTGAGGCTCACCATGGTTCAGTTGTCGGCATTGGGGTACAGCCACGCCCCTCCTTCCTCTTCCTTTTCTTTAGTCCCCATGCCCAAACTCCAGGTCCTAAGAATAGCAGATGGTGGATCAGGCTTTTCATAGGTGTTTAAATCAGTCATTCTTAGGTTAGCATTTTTTAGAGTACTTAATTTCTTAAAAATACTGCTACATGTGGGCCCGGTGTGGTGGCTCACGCCTATAATCCCAGCACTTTGGGAGGCCGAGGCAGACAGATCGCAAGGTCAGGAAATGGAGACCATTCTGGCTAACACCATGAAACCCTGCCTCTACTAAAAATACAAAAAATTAGCCAGGCATGGTGGCACGCCCCTGTGGTCCCAGCTACTCAGGAGGCTGAGGCAGGAGAATCGCTTGGAGCCAGGAAGTGGAGGTTGTGGTGAGCTGAGATTGCACCACTGCACTCCAGCACTGGGTGACAGAGTGAGATTTTTGTCTCAAAAAAAAAAAAAAACTGCTACATGTATGTTACTGCAAATTAAGTGTATGTGTGAAACCTGCTATGCACATGAACTTGATAAAATTGTGAACTTTACTTACTTGACAGATTTCACTATTTACTAACTTCTATTAAGGTATGGCCATAAGAAATAGTATTATAAAGAAGCATACATGTAAGTCAGTGTTTGTTTATTGTGGTTCTATAGATGCCTAAAATTAGTCTTCCCAGCCAGGAATGGTGATTTACGCCTGTAATCCCAGCACCTTGGGAGGCCAAGGTGGGTCAATCACTTGAGGTCAGGAGTTCGAGAGCAGCCTGGCCAACACAGTGAAACCTCATCTCTACCAAAAATACAAAACATTAGCCAGGCGTGGTGGCAGGTTCCTGTAATTCCAGCTACCCAGGAGGATGAGGCAGGAGAATTGCTTGAGCTGAGGAGGTGGATATTGTAGTGAGGGGAGAACGCACTGCTGCACCCCAGCCTGAGTGACAAAGAGAGACTCTTTCTCAAAAAAAAAAAAAAAAAAAAAGTCTTCCCGTAAGAGAAATGTTAAATTGAATTCCAGCACATAAGGTGTGTGCAGGTATGTATTTCTGCGACAAATCCAAACATAGTTTTCTGGATCTTAGAGTTCTTTAAATTCCGAAAACCTAGAGGTTGACTGATAAGTCTGTTTACACTGACCACTCTCTAATGGGGAGGAGTTTCCTTTGGAAAGATTATCAGAAATCTCCAGTCACCAGAACTTCAGCTTCAGCAAGTTCAGGCCTGATCAGGGATGGCCAGCGGTGGCTCCGGCGCCCTTTGCATTGTAACTAAAGTAGTTGATGCTTTCCAGCATTCATTTCTTTTTCTTGAATATTTAGACTCCTCCCTAGTTTCTTTAAAAGTTGTTTATTCTTTAGTTAATAAGTAAGTAGCTACTATGTGATATAATTAGATGGAGGCAATTGGATTAATTCAGGGAATTGTGTGGTATGTATTTAGTAGCCTGAGAATGTGTAATTCTTGGAGTATTTTTTTTTTTAAGCTGCTCTTTTGAAAATGTTCTGCTGGTTCTTTTCTGTTCCTGGGGCCTGCATGCATGACAGTCAGCGATCCACGCTGTAGGGAACACAAGATGCTCATCAACTCTTGTCATTTGCTTGTGTTTTAATCTGCTTCATTTTCATTCAGCAAGTAACATTTTTCAAATGCCAGCTCCTGTGCTAGAGGCTAAGGATGCAGAGAGAAGATTTGTCAGTTTGCCTCCATCTTTAGACTTACTATTCTTTAGTCTTTACTCAAGTTTCTGCCTCTTTGCTCCAGTGATTTAAAAATTACTGTGAGCCTATAGCCCCAGCATTTTCAGAGGTTGAGGCAGGCAGATCACTTGAGGCCAGAAGTTTGAGACCAGCCTGGCAAACACAGCAAACCCTGTCTCTACTAAAAATACAAAAATTAGCTGGGTATAGTGGTGCACACCAGTGTTCCAGCGACCCAGGAGACGTGAAAATCGCTTGAACCCAGAAGTCAGGTGTTGCAGTGAGCCGAGATTGCACCACTTCACTCTAGCCTGGCAATAGAACAAGAATGCCTCAAAAAAATAAATAAAACAAGAAACTCTAGAGGCCACATATAGTGGCTTACATCGATAATCCCAGTTCTTTGGAGGCAGAGGTGGGAGGAGCACTTGAGGCCAGGAGTTTGAGACCAGCGTGGGCAACATAGCAAGACCCCATCTCTTCAAAAAAAAATTCTTTTAATTAGCCAGGTGTGGTAGCACATGTCTGTAGTCCCAGCTGCTTGGGAGGCTGAGGCAGGAGGATCACTTGAGCTCAGAAGCTGGAGGTTACTATGAACTGTGATCAGACTTCTGCACTCCAGCCTGGGCAAAAGTAAGACCTTGTCTCTAAAACATAAATAAATAAAAAGACTTGTGCTCATTTTTCATGTTTTTACATGAAAATTCTGCAAGCCTAGGTTACATCAATAACAAAAAGGGGCAGAGAGGTTGGCTCAATTATTTTAAAAGTAACTAAGCAGGTAAGAGTTTTAGAATCTTCCATCCATCACCTTCCTAGTATGGTGCTTGGCTCTTATTCCAGCAATTAGTTGCTTAAAACAAAGCCCTTTATGTTGGCAATGATACCATATAATTTATAGTCTATGCCCTGTTGGATAAGGGGATTGGCACACTTTTCCCTTCCCTATCACTGCAGTGGGAAGATCATTTAGAAGACTAAGTTTGATTTGAACCTAGGGCCAAATTACCTACTGCAAATCAATCCTCCTCCTCCCCCTTCCCCTCACAGAAGCCAGAATTCACTGTGAAAGGTGACAGGTGTATGTTCAACTCATTGTATGTTGACATATGGTCAATATGAGTGAACGGTCCCTAATATAGATCTGTCCCATGGCAATGACCAGCATGTTGTGGATTTCTAACACATGCAAAGCAGTGAAGGAGCTTGAACCCCAAATACAAATATTTTAAGTGTTCAAATTTCCCTTTTTTTTTTTTTTTTTTTTACATAGGACCAGACACATTGATGGCATCTTGCTATAAATTTATGACACACTGATGAAAAAGACCTTGGAGGAACTTGTAAAGCGAAGTCACCAAGGCCATGTATCTTTAGGTGTCCATTGTGGAGACTGTATATATGCCTGTGTAAGAAGCGTTGGGGTGAAAGGGTCATTACCTTTGGTTGAAAACGGTGAGGGGGTCATTATGCATGTAAGAAAATCTTTGTTCTCTTCAATTAACAATTCTATAAAACGAGAACTGTCTTAGGAAACTGGGCTTTATGAATTCAAAGTATACTTTATCAAATTCTTTATATCTCATGTTTAAAACTATTTGAACAAATAAATATTGAACATTAGACTTTGCCTGTTCTTTTCAATGGAAAAAATATAAACTCTGATAATAGGATTTATATTTTTCCTACTATTCCCCCTTAGACAATAGTAGGAAAAACTGTTGGTCCCCACAAAGTTTTCATTCATCTCACCACTCTCTTCCCCATTTGTGAGGAGGAATATGAAGCTGCCCAGGCTCCCCTTTTAATCACAGAGTCCAAGACTAGGGAGTCAGATCGCCTGTTAAAATTACCATATGGCACCATGCATCTTGATTTGTATTTGCAGCCTTCCTACTACTTGGCTTAAGTTGTAAAAATCACAGGTAACTATGGTCCAGTGGCAAAGTTGTGTATCTCTTTGGGTTCTTTGTTGCACTTAGTAACTCTCGTTAACTTAAACAGAGCGACTTTAGTGGAAGAATATTGGGGATGTATAGAATTGATGAGAAAACCAAAGAATCAGGGTTGACATAGGCAATAAAGCAATCCTGGAGTTCCAGGAACCATGAACTACTTAAAACTACTAAGTCTCACCAGGCCTTGTACTAATTGCTGTCTGAGCAGGAATATGGTGGTGCCAGCCATTTTTTGGTCTTCCGTGCCAGTACTCCCAAGGATTTCCCAGGGTAGGAGCATCCAGCTGGCATAGCTTGGGCCATACAACCACACCTTGATGGAGGGAAGGGTGAACCCCTGATTGCAGTCTCACTGGGCCTTATCTAAGACAGACTATCCTTCAAAGGCAAATTCAGATGGAGTTATTGGAGGAAGTTATTTAAGCAGCCAAATGAATCAAGCAGTCACCCCAGGATAGTAGAAAGGATTAAGGACAGATGCAGCCAGTACTACTATTCCTTGGTAATGAGGGTTAGGAAAATGTGCCTATGTGCACTGGCTTTGAGGCAGGTCTCTTTGTCTCTGGCTCTCTCTATTCTCCCCCTCCACCACCCAAGCAGTTACACTTTGCTTTGGGAAATTAGATTTTTTTAAAAGTCCAGTGACTGCTTCAATGTTTACCCTATTTACCCCATGGCACAATTTACCAGTTGTTAAATCTGCTCTATCCATAACTGCCCAGCTGTCAAGAATTTTACATTTTAAGTGTATTTATCAGTAGTGAAACTTTGACCTTTTGGATTCACCTGGTGATTTTAGATGGTTATTAGAGATGATTTGTGTATGTAGCACACACAGTTACCCAATTTTGCTTCATGATTAAAGCTGTAACTTTAAGGAAATACTCAGTTATCCTGCCTAGCTTTGTTATTAGAGAAATGAGGATGGAATATCCTACACCTTATGTGCATTTTCCCCATTTTCAAAGGAAAGTGCAGCCTTTCAAAAAGAAATTAATTTTAATATCCTGAACTGTAGTGAGGGCACATATCTTTTTGCTTTCTTGTTGAACAATTAACAACGGTTATAGCAAACCTCCTAGGTGTAAGGAAAAAAAAAAGGATTCAATGCAATTTTATGAAATTTATTTAAAATAATGATTTAGTGACACTCCTATTTGGGTCCCTGTAAAGCTCCACATTTCTGTAGCTCCTACCTTCAACTTCTAAACTGTTAGTGTAATGCTAAACAAAAAGACTGCAGACATTCTGAGCATCACTTGGAGGTATGGTGGGAAGCTGACCTACTGTGTTTCTTTTTCAGCATCCAGTGTTGGATGAGCCAATAGCTGAAGCTGTCTGTATTATCGCAGACACGGATAAATGGAGTGTGCAGGTAGCCACAAGTCAGAGGAAAGTGACGGACAACATGAAACTAGGCCAGGATGTCCTGGTCTCTAGTCAGGTGTCCAGTTTGCTTCAGTCCATCTTACAGCTCTACAAGCTTCACCTCCCTGCTGATTTTGTAAGTAGCGGTTCTTACATCACCAAAGAAATACAGTTTTAAAATACTTTTAATGACATTTTGCTTATACAGTCACAAACTCAAAAGTTTATTGGTGGTTAGCATAACTAAAACTAGAACGTGCAACATAAAACCAGCAACAGGATAGATTTCAGTAACAGTAGCTCTTCCATGAAACAAATAACAAGGAGTAGCACTGGAATTTTTTGGAACAAGATACACGGTGCAGTAAAAAAGGAATGGGTGGAAAGATCAAGCATAAAAGGAAATTGTAAATCATCCACTGGAGAGCTCATAAGTTCTCCTTTTCTTAGATTGCTATTATAATAAGTAGGCCAGTTTCTGAAGGGATTGTAGTTCCTTCTGTTAAGTGAACATTTTCACAAAGGTGTTAAGAATAAAATAGAATATTGTTTGTGTAAACATTTCAAATTTTGAAGTACTATACACATGTAATATCAATTGCTGCTTTTTTTTTTTTTTTTTTTTTTTTTTTGAGACAGGGTCTTACTCTGTCACCCAGGCTGCAGTAATGCAATGGGGTGATCTCCACTCACTGCAACCTCCACCTACTGTGCTCAAGCGATCCTTCCACCTCATCCTCCTGAGTAGCTGGGATCACAGGCATGTGCCACCACACCAGCTAATTTTTGTATTTTTTGTAGAGATGGGTTTTGCTGTGTTGCTCAGGCTGGTCTTGAACTCCTGGGCTCAAGCAATGTGCCCACCTCTGCCTCCCAAAGTGCTGGGATTATAGGTGTGAGCCATCGCACCTGGCCTAATTGTTTCTTTCCAAATGGAATTTAAAAATCACTTTTGTAACAATGCTTTAAATACAAACAACAAACAGAGCCTATAAACTCTTAGAAAACTGTCAGTAGCTCCCTGCTAGCCAATGGAATTAACATCCACAACAAAATCTTTTCCGAATCTGTGTATGTGCCGAGAAATTGAAAGAAAGAGAAAATACATTTAGAGAGGGAGGGAGAAAGGTTTCAAAAGAAGAAAAGCTTTTTTAGTGATAATGAACACGAGAGAGAGAGAGAGAGAGAGAGAGAGAGAGAGAGGGGAGAGGAGAGAGGAGAGAGAGAGGAGAGAGGAGAGAGAGAGGAGAGGGGAGGGGGGGCGGAGAGGCAGGCTTATGGGCATATGGCATATAGCTAGTTAAAGCTTGGACGGGCTGACCTCAGAGACAGGTGTGTGAGGAAAAAGTCTGCTTTCTTTGCTCTTTCCTCTCGTCTGCATAGCGCTGTTCTCTGCAGCACAGCCCAAAACCAGAATATCTGTTATCTGCCTCCTGGCCTCCAAAAATGATGCAAAGCTGTTTACCCTACAAAGCAGGAAGCTTTTGAACATTAATTACCTACGCTAATTGCTAATGCAATGGTCATTGGCCTGGGTTTTTATGACTGAATCTATAGTGTACCCATTCCTCAAAGAGTCAAGACTTTTATGGCTTTGAAGAAGGTGCTGTGAATACCGTCTGCGTGTTACCAAAGTCCTGACAGTGTGGCAAGGCAGGAAGACCACACTGCGTGGCTGGGTTATGGTCTAGGCTTTGCCATTGGTTAGTTGTGTTACAGTAGACAGTCCTGAGACTCTCCAAACCTCAGCTTTCTTATTTGTAAAATGAAGATAGTACCTGTTCACCAAGGGTGCTATGAGAATCTTCTGAAAATTAGGAATATGATAACTGCTTTTTACTGCCAAAGCACCATGCCAATATAAGATACTTTAAAAGCTGTGTATGTTAGCTTTAGAGTCCAATAGCCTGGAGTTAAATACAAGTTCTGCTCTTTCCTAACCATGTAACCTTTCAAAGCCTCAATTTCCTTATCTGCAAAGCTGGGGAAATAAGAGACCCCATCGCATATGGTTATGAAATTATATTAGAGAATTAATGTAGAGCATTCGGAATGGTGTTAGATGTTATAAGCATTCAGTAAACAGCTACTGTTAGTATGATAGTTAATAACAGTTTCATGAAGCAGTATTAAAGGCAAAGACTGACAACACCTTTATTCCACACTCTATCTTTATTTTCCAAACTCTGTATTTTAAGCCGAAGCATACTCTTGTAAGACATCTGTCCTGCGGCAATATAAGAAGCATTTGTGGATTATTATGATCTTATTTTTCATTCTACAGTTGTAGGCAGTTTTTCCTTCTAGAAGCAGGTTGAATTATGCTGATTTAGAGGCTAATGTTTCCTTTTCTGTAAGGGAAGGAATGTGTATTAGACTTCATAGTTTCTTATAAGTATTTGCCAAACTTTTATATTTCATTCTATGATACACAGGTCTTGTCATAATTGGTATCTTGGTTATCAAAGCAATAAACTGTTATAGTTAATTCTTTTTACTTCATTTGGACAGAAGTATGTTCAAGCACTTAGTAGTATGAAAGCCTTATTTTAACCCAACAAAACCAAGATTAAAGAAAGTTTTATCTGCAATTTAAAATTTGCCTAAAAAATTACTTGAATGAAACCTGTGATTTAAATGGCTTTTAGAACCTTCAATACAAAAAGAGAAAGAAGCTATTTGAAATTTCAGAAATTAAAAATTGGAGAAATCCATCTCAGGAATAAAAATCACAGAAAGAGGAGTTAAAAAGCCCCCAGCATGGTTCGATTGAATACTCAAGTATTTTTTTAAATGGGTTTTTTTTGAGACAGAGTCTCATTTTGTTACCCAAGCCATAGTGCAGTAGTATGATCTTGGCTCACTGCAGCCTTGACCTCCTGGGCTCAAGCAATTCTGCTACCTCAGCCTCCCAAGTAGCTAGGATTAGAGGTGTGTGCCACTATGCCCAGGTAATTTTTTAATTTTTGTAGAGACAGGGTCTCACTATGTTGCCTAGGCTGGTCTCAAGCTCCTGGACTCAAGTGAACCTCCTACCTCAGCCTCCCAATGTGCTGGGATTACATGCATGAGCCACTGTGCCTGGCGAAAAGTTGTCTAAATGCTTGGATTTCATGTCTAGTATATATTCATATAGACCAGAGTTCTTATTTCCACATTGCATCATAGTTTTCATACAGACTGTAAACACTATAATTACTTTTTCAAAAGAGAAAGGATTTAATGTAGTATGAATACTTTTTAATATGTTGTAACTCTTACTGAAATTTTTTTATTTCACTCCATAAGGAACTGAAAGCTAATTAGAGATCCTTTCACCACTTTGTTTACTTGGAGGAGCATTTCTATGAGAACTGGTGAAATCCCTCTTGCTTTATAACTCTTAGTCACTTAGCAGTTGTGCTTCATCCACCTGACACAATGCATTTAAGATTTTAAACTAATGAAAAACTGAAAACATTGCATCTCTCATAGATATTTTTCCATGTCACTGATCAGCCCAGATGGTCAAGATCAACATTTTCAAATGCATCTGTTAATCTTTTTACCTTGAAATAACAGGCCTAATGGTCTAGAAGAAAATTATGTATGATGGAATTACCCTTGCCAAAGCCATCAGGTGTCTTACTGAAGCTGCTTGGGTAGCTCTGCCTGCCAAATGCAAAAGCATTTGCCTCTGGTGAAAGACACAGATGGTTGTTAGTCCCTAAAAAATGCAGCAGAACACCACTCCAAGGGTAAAGATGTCCTGAAAATAATTGCCTTTTCTTTATTGTTACTAAAGACCTAATTAAAATACATTCTTGAAGCAAAAAAAAAAAAAAAAGTTGTGGGGCAGGTTCAAAATGACCTGTTCCAGTCAGTCTCCTGTGGAAACGCATTGGGCCAGAATAATCTGAGATACTGGGGGAAAAAAACAACAAAAGAGATACTGTTTACTAAATTATTTACAAGAACAAACATGCAAATTGCTATGTGGGTAAGTGTAAATTCACATTCTCAAGATTGTTTAGCTATAAAAATTATATCAATAAAGAGTTCTCAATAATGTGGGAAAGGATTATTATAGTTTTTAAAGGCAAGGAATGTACTTTTGGAATGATTTCAACTATGAAAACATACTTGTTTAAAAAGACCAGAATAATGCATATGTAAATCTTAATAGTTAGCAAAAGTAAGCTTTGTTTTACAAGAACCGATTCTTATACCTGGTAGCGATAGGGTTTGCGACGGCTTGTCATTTTTTAAGTGTATTTGAAACATGAGATGAAAACTGTGTAGTTAGAAATGAATTAAGAAAATTCTTAAAATATTGGCAGATATTTGACTTCTCTTCCTCATTATGAATGTTCTTGGCCTTGCAGTGCATCATGCATCTTGAAGACAGACTACAGGAGATGTACCTTAAAAGCAAAATGCTGTCTGAATATCTCCGGGGACACACACGAGTCCATGTGAAAGAATTAGGTGTCGTACTGGGGTGAGTTCTGTGAAGTGCTGCCATGTCTCCCTTTGATGGGCATCCCTAGCATTGTACCCACTGATGTGTTTAGACTGTGCCAACCTAAACTCAGGCCCCGGTCACCCATCAAAGTATGTGGAGTCCATCAGATACGTGCCTCTGCAGCTCCCCAGTGAACAGCATGTTCCTTGTATCTGATTGATACTGGGTTTCACACCCAAACAGTCGCAGGGGTTTAGGCTGGTGGGGCTCTGTTACGCCTCTCCGTGGATTATCTTATGCTTGAAAAGAAAATGTAATCCCACACTGCCCGTTTCTAGTAACTGAGTCACAGGCTGTGGGATGTGCAGCAGCTGCTCGTGTTTACATTTCACTTCCTGGAGGAGGAGCAGGTCGGCACATTCCGCCTGGTGGCAGGAAAGGCCCTTCTGGGCTTGAGCCTGCCTGAGTGTCTGTAGGGTGACAGTGATTTTCTTCCTTTATTATAAGGCCACCGAAGAGGAGACGTGTATGATACTAAAATTGCCTCTCATCCTCCAGGGGGTATTTGCTATAACTTCTCTAGAGGAAGAAATTCTGACCTTTGTTTTACTGTCTGCTTGATTTTTCAAAAGAGAACAAAAACATTGTCCATTTGGGGAACTGCTCCCTCACTCATCCGTGAAGACAATTCCCTGAACTCAGGACAAGAAAATATTGTTTATATTGTGGACGTTTAAATTCTCTAAGCCTGCCTAGGGCCTGGGCCTTCGTATTTTCCTCAGATTTTTCATCTTTCACACCCAGAATGTGATGCCTGTACTGTTTGGCTCTGGGCATTTCCTGTCATAGATTTTTCTTATGTACTTTATTTACTAAGCATTTCCCCCTTTTGAGGTGTTTGCTTTTGCAGTTAACTTGCAACATGTCTCTTTGTGATTTCTTTGCTTTTGTTTCTCTCTCTAGCAGCCTCTTACTTCCGTCCTGCCTTATTAGACTGTCCACTGCTGATGTGTACTTACATTTCGAGGACTTTACCTAGTCCTCGACCCTCACAGGTGTGCATCAATGCCTGTTATCATAAGCTGTGATTCCCCTTTGCACTCTTCTCTAGGTCCTCTTAGTGCATTCCTTATCCCCTTCCACCCGTAGTCAGGGCCAGTAGGACTGAAAGCACTAGAGAACTTCTGTCCACTCTGAAATCAGATCTGTATGCAGCATTACTGGAGAAGGACTAGAAAACCCCATGAAGATACCGTTTTAATTTTTATTTTGAGAAATTCAAGGGAAAGAATTAGGACACATTCCACAGGCTGAAACAGTTGAATTTTTTTTTTTTTTTTTGAGCGGAGTTTCACTCTTGTTACCCAGGCTGGAGTGCAATGGCGCGATCTCGGCTCTCCGCAACCTCCGCCTCCTGGGTTCAAGCAATTCTCCTGCCTCAGCCTCCTGAGTAGCTGGGATTACAGGCACGCGCCACCATGCCCAGCTAATTTTTTGTATTTTTAGTAGAGACGGGGTTTCACCATGTTGACCAGGATGGTCTCGATCTCTTGACCTCGTGATCCACCCACCTCGGCCTCCCAAAGTTCTGGGATTACAGGATTGAGCCACCGCGCCCGGCCAACAGTTGAATTTTTATGACACCTGACATCATTTAGCCAGTGCCCATACTGTATCCACCTCAGCTGGAAGAGAGGCAGCCAATACTGTGTCCATTTGAAACGGTGATGTCTCTTAACTCGGTATCTTTTAGTGTCACCTTGCTCTCAGAATCTTGTGAGGATCTGTCGTATAACCTTTGAACGCATGCCCAAGGTTTAAGAAATTGCTACCATCACCATTTTTCTAAGAGCAATTTGACCTTAGGTGAAAAATCAGTATGCATTTAGGAGTGTTGACTGGAAGAATGCGTTTATAATGAGAAAACCTTCAAGTATGATACAATGAAGTTATACAGGGAATACAGGAAAGTGAGAAAGTCTGGTGGCCCCTGCCATGGGAAAAAGAGCTTTATGTCTCACACAGGCCCAACACACTTCCTGATTTCTCTCCTTGTGCCTCCCTGGTCAGTGTCCACTGGAATATTTTATGAAAAGAATGTTTATTATCCTTCCATCTGTTTTGCTTTTTTGTTAGTTTTAAATGATACTCTATCAAACTTGGTACCTAGAAATAACACTTTCTCATAAAACCATGCTATTTTAAAGTAATACTCTTTTCTTTTCTCAATATTCAGGATTGAATCCAACGACCTGCCTCTGTTGACTGCTATTGCCAGTACTCATTCTCCTTATGTGGCTCAAATACTCTTATAAGCTAAAGCTCAGGATAGTTCTTCCTTGGAAGAAAAAAGTCAAATTCTTGACGGAAGGAGAAAGGAATAAGCTCTCTGTGATGTCAAAAGCATGAGAAGAGCAAACAGAAACAGTCATTCCACCTTTTTCTGTTTTGTTTTGTGTTTTTGCTGTCAAGCTGACGCTTCAGTGAAGACTTAGGTTTACTGGACATAATGGCATTTGTGATTGTCTTGAACACTTCAGGCCATTTGTTACTCATGAATCAACAAAGAGACCTTTTTGGTAGGAGGAAACATAAGCACTACACTAAACACTAAGCTATTGGGACAGATTGCCTTGTGCTGTTTCGGCAGAATAAGGAAAAGTGACTTGAGCGGAGAGGCCAACAGTGTACATAACATTCCAGTAGGAAACTGCTTCCAGGTTTGAGCATGAGCTCCCCAAACTGGAGAAAACATACTTTGCTATACTTAGACAGTCAGAATGCAGACTTTGGATTCCAGGTCAGAGTTTGCTTTTTACACAAGGTGAAACGAAGAAAGCCACACTGTGCCATCTTCAGCTCCAGTGGCGGTAGCAGTGACTATTTGACATAAAACATGTAAAAGAATTGCCTGTTGGAAAGAGTGCTTTAGGGACCCACTGTTTTCATTTCTTTTTGGAGTTTACCTTGTTTCAGGTGCAGCCACAGGTAGGTCAGAGATGGATTGTTGGTGCAATAAACCCAAGAATCAATGTAGCCTCTTAATCCCATCAAGATGTAGTTTGTAGCAGCAAAGTGTACAGTCTGAAACCATATGTTTTATCCTTATATTTTAGAGCTTTCAGCAGCCTTTTTAAGAGAGGCCATTTACCAAAGTTATTTCTAGAAGCTCAAGAGTGTTTCTGTTGGTAAGTTCTTCCAGCTGAAGCCACTGTTTTCTTATAGTTAATACAAATAACTATTTGTACTTTAAAAGGCACAGCTGTCTGGGTGGGAAATGAAACCTGCAACAGTTCAGGATGGCTAATGAAAACAATTAGCTTGAACATCTAGAAAAAAATCCATATATGATCTCAATTTTTACATTATCATTTCTGTGCCTTCTAATTCCTCCATCATTTTCAAAACATTTTTCCAGAAATTAACTTACCCATTGTATAAAACCTACCAAAATGAATTATTTCCCAAAGTTCATGCAAAAAAAAAAAACATTCTGTTAATATAAAAGAAACTCTAGTTTACTGATCGTGAAACAGACTATGTACTGATATCCAGGGTAAAGTAAAAGACCTTAAAAAATTGGTCATTAAAAGGAGCCAATCTAGCAAAACTAAACCTCGTCAGCACTTTGCAGTTCTTGAACAGGCTCCGATTCCCTTCCACTGTTTTATGAATTAATTCCAGTTCTTTTCATGTATCTTTGTACCTAAGAAATATGCAGTAACTTCCCTATTAGGGACTAGCATGACTTCAATTTTTTATTTGAGAAAAATCAGAAGTTACCTTTCCCCCTTTTTTAAATGATGCAAAATGTAGATAAGTGTATTAAGATTTGTAAGAACGTTAATTTTCATTTTATGTCATTCATTGAAAATGGAAATGTTCATTCTTTTTAATGTTTTCCTATTTCCTTTTGCCTAGCATTTGACTTTGGTGTTCTATAGTTCCATGACATCATTGTTTGCTGTTGTGTTACAGAGAGAGAAGGAACCTCACCTGTGGCTCAGCTCACCCCCCATCCATTTCTCATTACGTATTAACTGTCAGAGCTGATGTTACAGCTTTTACAGTTTAAAGCATTCCCCTCATCTCTAGTTCCTTTTTTCTTGTTTACATGTTTTGGCACTTTCCCTCATTCACCACCTTCCGGGGCTTCATAGAAAATAACTTGTTACAAAATCAGTTCAATTCTAATGTGGACATAGTGGCATGTTGATAATTAGACCCATATAGGGGACACTGAGCTTTAAATGGTTTGTTCTAAACTCTATACATTAAAAAAATTCAGCCCAGATCCCTCAAAGCCTGAGATTAATTTGCCTCTTAATGTTCCAAAACTCACTCTTGGAAAAACGCCTGTTAGAAAACAGGTGGGTCACGTGTGGGGGTTGTCTCCGCGACACTCAGGATTCCAGTCAGAACCTAATCCTCATGTCTATTGCCTACAAAAATAGACCAAGAATGTTGCTGCTCTTTTATAGTCCTTTAAATATTTAACATTCAAGTTTCTTTGTCTTAAATTCAACCTCTTCCTAAAAGCGAAAAAGAAAACAACTCATGGACTCATGTTGAGATCCACCCGCTCACACATCGTGCACCACCCAGTGGCTTCACTCTGGCTTAGCCGCAGAGGCAAGAAAGGGATCCCACCCACTCCCATGCCCACCTCAAGAAAAAAAATAAAATTTTTTCTAAAAAAGAAAAGAAATCTACCTCAGTTGACAGGATTCCACCTTTAGGGTTTCTTCAACTTATTAAGTCTTACCTGTTGAGTGTAACTTTTGTAGCATCTTGCTTTTCTAAGCAAGCTAGTGAGGCATGACAGAGCAGAAGTCTGTATATGTCCCTGTGATGGACCTCTTTCTAGCATGTTGCAGTTTTATTTTTAATAAATTGATAAGTGAAATGAATGTAAGGTAATTGTGTACGTTTTAGACTATGACAATGAAAAATTAAAATGTAGCTTCCATACTTGTGCATAATTCCAAAGTATTTTATTTTTTATCAGTGTTAAATAGCTTTTTGTACAGGCTTCAATCCATTTTTCTGAAGTGTGCTGTTTTTTAATGAAAGTAACTATAATCTTTTCACATCCCATGGAACTGCCGTTTACACACTGCAACTTTTTAAACTTAACCATATTTTTCAAAATTAACTTTTTTGGAGGGAGATAAAAAAATCCCCGGCTTGCTAAATGATACTAAACTGTTGTTTGGGCTCTTGTAATTAGGTCCTGAGATTTTATAAAAATTTAGTCTGTAACTTTTTAGGTTCTTCACTAGAGTTGGTTGTACATAAAAATAAAGAATATAAAGTGACCCCAAAATTCTTTTAAATGTCTGGATTTTTCCACTACTATGTACTTTTGAGAGTATTTTGTTCATGCATACTTTCACTGTTAAAATGAAAATGTCTTCAGCTTCTCTTGGTAAATGTGAACAATTTGTTTTTTATTGTGCTTGGGGGAGAGGGCATTTTAATTTTTGCCTAAATCAAGCAGTCCCCTCTGAATGTTAATTTTTAAATGTCAAAACATGATGAACCATATATCTTAAAGCAAGTTTGCAATATGCTTAAACTTAAGTGGTATTTCAAAAAAGAGAAAATTCTGGAATTTGTTATTTGAAGCTCTGTAAGAGAAATTGATAGGACTTCGTTTTTGATCAGTTTGAATGGATACCAGTGTCATTGTGTGGGATTTTTTTTTAAACTTGTTTGTGTATTATTTTGATCCATTTTTCTGTGGCATTTGGTGCAATAAACCTTTTGAATTTATCTTGAACATATTTTCCTGGTGCTACATGTGATTTGCTTGTTACATTTAATCAAATATAGAGGTCTCATTTCCAATAATTCATGCTGAAAACAAGCCAATTATATATGTTAGTGGTTTTCAACCAGGGTGTTTTGGAAATGCAGGGACATTTTTGGTTAGCATAATGACAGGTTAGGATTACTGGCACAGAGAAGGTGGGAGCTCAGATGACAGGCAAAATGTCCTGGACCACGAGAGACAGCCCACAGGACGAGGAATTGTCCCACCTCTTGTGTAACCCTTCAATGTCCTGCTGGACATTTATGTGGCTAAGAAAACCCATATATAGTCTGATAATTCTCCTGTACATAATACAATGTATTTTTAACATGATTTTAGTACATAATACATTCTCCAGGAATGCAGCTGTTGTATAAATTGAGGGAAGATTTTTACTTTGTAAGGTTTAGAATGTTAACAAGAAGTGGTCACTTGGTCTTTACCAAGAATTGACATACTTTTGGAAAACTATGTTACCAACATCTATGGTACCCATGGAATTTGAGTCACCAATGCTGCACATCTCTATTGGCCTTCACTCATAGCTACTGCATTCATGAAGACTCTGTATATGGATGCTTACTTCATCTGTCTACTTCATTGTATTTTCTAATCTAGTGCCCCAATAGTTATGGATTAAAGTAGTATTATAAATTACTTTTACATTTATTTTAAATTACAATAGAGTACTATATTGGTTTGATATAAATTGAGTACATTTGTAAATTTCATTTTAGGGTAATAAAGGGGGTATTGTAAAATATTTGCTCTGAAAAGGGACGATGTCCACTGATATGTCTGGTCTCAGGAAAAAATATGCCATTGAATGCAACTGTTGGTACCAACATAAGCCATACTAAGTTATGTTATCTTAAAGACCATGGAGAAAATTACAGTAGATATTTCAAAATCCTTTCTGATAAATGAAAATTTCAAGTATTTTTCCCAGAAGCCTTTTTTTTTTTCCTTTTCCGGCATGCTCAGCTCTCCAAGGTTGGTTCCCCTAATGCGCACTCGGGTAAAAACAGCTTTAAAATTATGCCATTGATAAAAGGATTTAAAAACATGTGCACACCACAGTGCTTTTTGGTTCCCTAGTTCCTGGACCATTCTGTTGGGTGTTTTTTGTATGTTACCCGGATTTAATCCTCACAGTGGATGAGAGGGAGGGGTACTGTGATGGTTAGATTTTTTTTGTTGTTGTTAAGAGACAAGGTCTTACTTTGTCACCGAGCCTGGAGTACAGTGGCATGATCATACCTCACAGTAACCTCATACTTCTGGCCTCAAGTGATCCTCCTGTCTCAGCCTCCCAAGTACTTGGGACTACAGGCATGCACCAACACACCCAGATAATTAAAAAAAAAAATTTATTTTTTGTAGAGACAGGGTCTCTGTTGCCCAGGCTGGTCTTGAACTCTGGGACTTACAGGATCTTCCTGCCTCAGCTTCCCAAAGCATTGGAATTATAAGCGTGAGCCACCAGGCCTAGCCTGTGATGGTTAATTTTGTGTCAACTTGGCTAGGCTATAGTACTCTGATATTTGGTCAAACACCAATCTGGATGATGCTGTGCAGATATTTCTTATGTGAGTTAATATTTAAGTCAGTAGACTTTGAATAAAAATGATTATCCTCCATAATGTGGTAGGCCTCATTCAATCTGTTGAAGGTTTTAAGAGAAAGACTGACGTTCCCCCAGGAAGAGAGAATTCTGCCTGCAAACTGCCTTCAGGCTCAAGCTGCAACATCAGTTCCTCCCAGGGTCTCTGCCCTGTTGGCCCACCCTGCTGCATTTGGATTTGCCAACTTCCACAATCACTGGAGCCAAAATAAAACATCTCTAAACTTACTTTAAGCCTAAACACCTCTCCCAGCTCTTGTGTGCCTGTGCATACACACACACACACCATTGGTTCTGTTTCTCTGGAAAACCCTGACTGATACAGGTACTTACGAGATTAGCCCAATGATATGGCATGATAACCCAAAATAGAGTTGAGTAGGATCAAAAAATCATCATTCCAAGTTACAGGAAGTAGACTTTAAGCAATTACCTTTAACATAATAAACACTACCAACTTGAGAATTAGCCCATAAAGGTTGACATAGATGTCACATAGTCTCTGAATATGTGTTTAAAAGAACTGAAAAACAGAAGCAACCCTCTGAGAAGGAAGAAGGTAACATTTTATTAAAAGTGGAGGAAAAGTCTGGGCATGGTGGCTCATGCCTGTAATCCCAGCACTTTGGGAGGCTGAAGCAGGTGGATCACCTGAGGTCAGGAGTTTGAGACCAGCCTGGCCAACATGGTCAAACCCTATCTCTACTACAAATACAAAAATTAGCTGGGCGTGGTTGCAGGAACCTGTAATCCCAGCTACTCTGGAGGCTGAGGCAGGAGAATCATTTCAACCCGGGAGGCGGAGATTGCAGTGAACTGAAATCGTGCCATTGCACTTCAGCCTGGGTGACAGGACGAGACTCCTACTCAAAAAAGAAAAAAGCAGGGGCAGGCAGGGAGGAAGAGCGTTCCCTTTCTATAAAGATTCATCCCTACAGTTACATATTAATTCCTGTAAGTTATGCCTCTCCCTCTTTTTTCTTGAGGATATCAAAATCATCAGTTATCCCTTTCCCTCACCTTTAGGTTCTCAATTTATTTTTTTCTACTCAAAATATATATTTTTTAAATCCCCTTATGTTAAGCCCTTCCTTCTCCTATGCCCTCTCTTTTTATCCTGTCTTTCCTTTATCGAGAGCTAAACATTTTCTAGAGAGCTTTACTTGCTTTTCACTTCTTTGCTTCCTATTCATTCTCTACGCGCTGCCACCTGGCTCCCACTCCCCACCACCTCACAGAGAGCTGAGGGTTCAGCTCTATGTCCTTCCTTCCCACCATGACAAGTTTTTTTCCCACGTCTAGTCAGCACTGAGAGCTGTCGAAACAACCTTCCTTATGTCTCAAATGCATTACCTTTGCACCTTTCTTTCGGCCTTACAACAATCCTTCCTCATTCTCAATTGAGTTACCGAAATGCCTTCCAAACACACCACCTTTTCATAATCAAGCAGCTCTAATCAGTCCTCCCAGCTGATGCCTCCATCTTTCTAAAATGAACATTTAACCCTGTCACTTCTTTATTTAAAGGTCAGCCTAGGCTGAGAGTGGTGGCTCACACCTGTAACCCCTACACTCTGGGAGGCCAAGGTGGGTGGATCACCTGAGGTCAGAGTTTGAGACCAGCCTGGCCAACGTGGTGAAACCTTGTCTCTACTAAAAATACAAACATTAGCTGAGCATGGTGGTGCGCACCTGTAATCCCAGCTATTCAGGAGGCTGAGGCAGGAGAATCACTTGAACCCAGGAAGTGAAGGCTGCAGTGAGCCAACATCGCACCATTACACTCCAGCCTGGGCAACAGAGACTCCATCTCAAAAATATAAAAGTCAGCCCAGCCCTCGGCACTCAAATGACCCAGCTGATTCATCTTCTCCAGCCTCATCACCGGATACTCCTGTGTTCTATCTTCAGCCACATTGAACCACATATACTTCCCCAGAGGTGCTAGGTTATCATTGTCTTTGCCCTGTTAAGTGTATTCTTCCTAGAATAGACTTTCCTTTGCCTCATCAAACCCCCATCCCCATTCCCTCTTCCCTTTGCCTCATCAAGTCCCCCCTGTTCCTAGCACAAAATTCAATTCATCGTCAGTCCTCCAGCACCTTGCTACTCAAGGTCCCCACACCAGCAACAACTAACTGCACTTCCTGGGAGCTTGACAGAAATGCAAAACCTCAAACCCCGTTTCAGACCTACTGAATCATAATTTGCAACTTAACATGATTCCCCGTTGATGCGTATGACCTTTAAAATGTAAGATGACTGCTCTCAAACTCGAGTGGATGAGGAAAAGAATGTATCAATCATTGAGACTGAAGTTCATGTATTGGAATGAAGGGAGACAACGAGAATATTTGCCAGCAAAGAACTGAATTACGTTAAAAGTGTCTATCACATGTACATACATTTTACAACACTGAGGTGGCTATTATATGAAGGAAAAAAACTATCAGAAATCCAGAAGGGGAAAATAATGAATGGAATAGAAGATAGAACTTAAGAAACATTTTGTGATTTAAAAAGAGAGATTTGGGACATTATAGAAAAAGCAGTTTAGAGACTTGACGAATTTCCAAAAGCATTTACAAGAACATTTTTGGGTGAATGTATACAAGAATCCTGTTAAATCCCCTAAATTGTAGTTTTTAGAAACACCATAATTAAGCTCTCTAAACTTAAGTTTATAAATGGAAAACCAAACTCAAAAGCATCAATATACAATATCTCCCTTTTCAACCATCTATTTTGATAAGAAAGCTTGTGATACTGTCTATAGGTCTAAGCTTTTAAAATCCCCCCAAGTGGCCCAGTAACACAGACAAATTTCTACTTTTTAGAGGCTTTCAGTGCATGGTTCTGATTCTTGCAGCTTAAGAATGGAAAATGTGTTGGCATCTCAAGTAAGAGTACTAATGATAGCCACTCATTGGCGGCTATGTGTGAGGCATTGCGTTGGAGGCTTTTCACATGTGGTATTCATTATTTGCTCTTGAATATATAAGAGCACTTGTTCCAATTTATTTTCCCTGAAGTGGATTCATGTAAAAGAGGGATTGAGTATTTATTGAAGCATCCACACAAACTCTGCAGGATAGTCCAAAAAATGAACTTGTGTGACAAGTATCTAATGTATCTCTGGAAATTTAGAAGAAAGCCTCATTGATAAAAAGAGAAATTATTAGAAGGCTGAGGCAGGAGAACTGCCTGAACCCAGGAGGTGGAGGTTGCGGTGAGCCAAGATTGCACCATTGCACTCCAGCCTGGGTAACAAGAGCGAAACTCCATCTCAAAAACAAAAAAAGAGAAATTATTTTGAATGATTCAGTATGTTGTTCATTTCTGGAATGGATGGAAGGGAGTATGACCAAATGCTCAACTAACTCTCATGAATAATGGGTTAAACCAGCCTCAGGTGCCTCTTGATGTGATGCACTGAGCACAAAGCTACATCACTTATCTGGGATTCCTGACAAAAACACATAACCTGAACCCACTCCCGAGGAAACATCAGACAAGCCCATTTACATTCCTCAAAAATGTCCGTGTTCTGAAAGACCAGACTGAGGAACTCTTCCAAATTGAAGGAGACTGAAGAGACGTGATAACTAAATGTAATACATGGTCCTAGACTGAATCCTGGATCAGGATATAACAAAGGTTATCAGTGAGTACCTTGTTGTTGCTGTTATTATTTAAGACAGTTGGGCTCTTTGTCGTGCAGGCTGAGTGCAGTGACGAAATCATAGCTCACTGCAGACTTGAAGGTTTGTGCTCAAGCAAACCTCCCACCTCAGCCTCCTGAGTAGCTGGGATTACAGACGTACAACCACACCTGCCTAATTTTTTATATTTTCATAGAGACAGGGTCTCACTATGTTGCCCAGGTTGCTCTCAAACCCCTGGGCTCAAGTGATCCTTCCACCTTAGCCTCCCAAAGTGCTGGGATTATAGGTGCAAACCACCACTATCTGCTATTTAAGAAAATATGACTATGAACTTTAGATTAGGTAATAATATGCTGTATCAATGTTAAATTTCCTGAATCTTATACATTGTACTGTGGTTATGTGGGAGAGTGTCCTTGTTCTTAGGAAATACACCCTGAAATATTTAGGAGTGAAGGGTCTAGGCTGTAGACCATTTAATCCACAGGGTCTGTGCCTATAGTCCTAGCTACCTGGGAGGTCGAGGTGGGAGGATGGTTTGAGCCCAGGAGTTCAGGGCTGTGGTGCAATGTGGTTGTGCCCATTGAGTAGCCACTGCACTCTTTAAAAAAAAGACAAGAGAAGTTGGGGGGGGCATCATGTCTGCAACTTGACCTCAAATGGTGCAAGAGAGAGAGTGCAAGAAAGCAAACACTAAAGCAAATAAAATGAACAACAGATGGGGCTGGGGAAAGAGTATATCAAGAGTTATTTGTGCTGTTGTTACAACTTGCTCTACAAATTTGAAATCAAAATAAGAAGTCTTTTAACAGACTTTCTTAATGCAAAAAATATACCAACTGGATTTGGTGAATGATAGAGGCGTTTGGGATAATTTAATCCATAATAGCTCTAATCTGACACAAAATTAGTTCAGTGACAGAGAGTAACTAATCCAAGCCCTCCTCCACACACTGCAATAAACCATTTCATTTGGACCTGTCCCAAAATTCAGACTACATAGAAATGTTATTTGTTGAACTGTTCCCTTTTTCAATATGAACTATTCCTAAGGTCAGCATCTACTGAGGCAGACAACTAAGTCTCCCTCCTGCACAGAATGTCTCGAGTAGACATAATTACTTGCTAATGAATCAGATCTCTGGCAACAGAGGGTGAGTAATATTCTAGTGAGTTGGCAAGATTCTCCAAAAGAGCAAGAAGTCTTTCTACGTGTGGGGAACAGGAGTCTCTGAATGGGCCTGAGTGGTTCGATTCCTCTTTCTATCATGGAAATTTGCTGTCAAACTCTATTGAGAAAACTAGACGCCTGCAAAGTTCATTGTGATGTGGGATTAGGCAGAAAGCTATTGGTGAATGGTTTGTACACAGACCTCAGGAAATAGTTGTTGAATATATACATCCACATTCTTTACTTAATTCTCCTCCTAACTCTGTAAGATATTCAGAACAGATACCAAAATCCCCATTTTACTTCTAAAAACCCATCCAGGAAATTAGGCAGCTTGCCCACGATTCCATAAGTAGTTCAAGGGAAATCCTAGCATTCAAACGGGTGTAAGTTTGCTCTGTGAACCAGTCTGTGAGGGTTTTGAGGGGAGTTACCTATTTACCTCCATTTCACAAACAATGCTTTCTTGGTTCTTGGAAATCACAGGGATGGCTGTTATCTCGAGGTCAAACCTAGTGATAAGAAATTCTGAGGATACAACCTCTTAACTATAAAAGGGGAATGATGCCCGCTTACCCACTGAATAAACATCACCGTGGCAATCCAATATGGATTACAAAATGCTTTGATGGTTTAAAAGAAGCTATCAAACTTAATATTACTATGAAAAACCCCTCCCCAATTGATATGTTAAAGCCGGCTGACACTTTCTATGACAAATTAGAAAAGCAAAAAATCGTACCTTTTCCTTTTTTGGTAGCCTCGGCAGCTTAGACGGCTCGGAAGCTCTTGGCGTTGGTGACTTACTCTGCCTAACGAGAGTAGCCCACCTGGAATTCCTCCGATCAGTGTCCTCGAAATCACTCATACACCAGGCAAAAGAGGCACGACTGTGTTTTCCTTGCATATCCAGGACATGAGGTTTTGGTTGCCTGGAACAGAAACACATTGATTGGTTCTCAAATGGTAAAGACCTAGAAACAAGGCCACCAGTTTTCAGATCGTTGAGATTTGTCTGTTTGTCTAGTAATTGAAAGCGACTCTAGCCATGTGGCTTAGGAAAGCAGAAGATGTGACCCATTCCGAGAAGTTTCTGGACTCTGGCCACTCTATATCAGTAGACTGCTGGAGATCCAAAGAACTACCCCCGAGAGGGACACTTGTCTAGGAAGCTCGTTGATGAAGGCACTACTGTACCATGACGGCCCTATGTCCCTTCAGAGCCTAGCATGGAAGATGCTGTGAAGTTGAAGGTGCCATGCTAAGGCTGAGACATCATGAGACCCATGTGATCTCCTGAAGGACATGGCCTACCCATTTTGAGGTCTCATGGACATTCAGGAAAACACCAGCTTTTCTAGTCCAAGCTCTGGCTTTGGACTGCATTCTAGAGGAAAGATCTAGGCTTCCTCCTCTTGCCCTGGTGAGATCCTTGGCTAAGTTCTCACAGCCCTAAAATAGAAGATTATCTCAGCCCTGCCTTTCCATTATAAAAGGCTAGCTCTGGGGAACAGAAACAGAATTGTAAGGGTAGGGATTTGCTGACTCGTTTGGAAAGCTGTTGTTGCTTAGAGAGCCTCCTGAGACTTCTTGTTCACCATCTCTCAACCTGGGCTGCAAGAGCCCCTTAGGGACTGCAAAGTTCTCTTCCTAGAATCTGAGTCTGTGAGTTTCCAAGGTCTTGGACCATGATTTGTGGGAGATTTGCATCTCTCTTCACTCATTCAAGAATCTACAGGCATTTTCTATATGGCTGGCACAGTACAAAGCACCATGAGGACCAATAGTAATAAGACAAAGTCCCTGTTGTCATAGAGCTTATATACCTGTGGGGAGAAAAACAACACACAGATAAGTGAAATACTTGGGAAGTTCCAGGTAGAAAAATAAAGGCAGATGAGGAGTAGAAAGTCTTGGGCATGCTGTTTTCATGAGGTTAGACAGGAGAGGAAGAGGTAATGTGTGAGCAGAGAGTTCAGCGAAGCAAGAGTGTGAGCAATTCTCACAGCATGCAGGGGTCAGATAGTTCCTTCCTGCTCCTGAGAATCACAGAATCCCTGTGCTGGGAGGGAAGTGATCATGGGTGTCTCCAACAGACCCTCCCCTGACATTTTATCATCCTAGAAGAAAGTCCCAATTCCTCAGCGTAGCATACAGGGGAGTTTGTTGTTGCTGATTGATTTTTGTCTGCTTTCATTATTTTAATTAACTGATTTATTTAGAGACAGAGTCTTACTCTGTCACCCAGGCTGGAGTGCTATGACACAATTTTAGCTCACTGCAACCTCTACCTCCTGGGTAAGCGATTTTCCTGCCTCAGCCTCCCAAGTAGTTGTGTGCCACTATGCCTGGATAATTTTTTTTATATTTTTAGTAGAGACAAGGTTTCACCATGTTGGTCAGGCTGGTCCTGAACTCCTGACCTTGTGATCCACTCACCTCGGTCTCCCAAAGTGCTAGAATTATAGGTGTGAGCCACTGCCTGGCCTGTCTGCTTTCTTTTTAAAAATGGTCCTGCTGGGTGTGGTGGCCTGTAATCCCAGCACTTTGGGAGGCTGAAGCGGGCAGATCATCTGAGTTCAGGAGTTCGAGACCAACCTGGCCGACATGGTGAAACCCTGTCTCTACTAAATATACAAAAAATTAGCTGGGCATGGCGGCACACACATATAATTCCAGCTACTCAGGAGGCCAAGGCAGGAGAATCTCTTGAACCTGGGAGGCAGAGGTTGCACTGAGTTGAGATCAGGTCACTGCACTCCAGCCCCGGGTCACAGAGTAGGGGGAGAAAAGGTCCAACCCCAGTGGGTCCTCCTGTCCCTACTCTCAGACACACACAGTCCTTCCTTGTGCCTTCACCTTGAGCTCCAAAGAAGCTGCACTGTGAGACTCAGCCTTTGCTTCAATTTCCTTCTGCTTGTGATTCCCTCTCCTCCTTCTTTCTGGAAAGCTGCAACTAAATTGGGGCTTTAAACATCACCTTTTCCATGAAGACTCTTCTTATTCGTGTCATGCAACAATTTTTCTCCTTTAATAACACTATTTGACTTTTTTTTTTTTTTTTTTTTTTAAGACAGAGACTCACACTGTCACCCAGGCTGGAGTGCAATGGCACGATCTCAGCTCACTGCAATCTCTGCCTCCTGGGTTCAAGCAATTTACCTGCCTCAGCCTCCAAAGTAGCTGGGATTACAAGTGTCTGCCACCACACCTGGCCAATTTTTGTATTTTTAGTAAAGATGGGGTTTCACCATGGTAGCCAAGTTGGTCTTGAACTCCTGACCTCAGGTGATCCACCTGCCTCAGTCTCCCAAAGTGCTGGGATTACAGGTATGAGCCATCACGCCTGGCCTGACTTCTTCTGTGGAAAGTACTAGATTTTTTTTCTTTTTTTAGACAGAGTCTCACTCTGTCACCCAGGCTGGAGTAAATAGCTGGGGTTACAGGCACGTGCCACCATGCTTAGCTAATTTTTTTTGTATTTTTAGTAGAGATGAAGTTTAACCATATTGGTGAGGCTAGTCTCAGACTCCTAAACTCATGATCTGCCCACTTTGGTCTCCTGAGGGCTGGGATTACAGTTGTGAGCCACCACACCCGGCCACAATATTCTTGAATTCCTAGCTCAGCAGTCTCTCTCCCTACAAATTCAGTGCTCCTGAAAAGGCCCAGAGTGTATCTGTTTCATCATTGGCTCCCCAGTGCCATGACCCTGCCTGACATGTAACTGACACGTAACTAATATTGGAGAATGGAAGAGGAGGGAAGGACAAGGAAGATCAGAACTGAGTGATGAGATGCCTGCTACCCTCCCACTGCCTTCACCTCCACCTGCTCTACAGCCTCTTTCCCCTCCCCACAGGGAGCTATGTAGGACCAGATACCTGCGGTTCAGTTTAACTGAGTTTTGTTATTTACAAGTACAGATTAATAGCTAGAAATAATTTCAAGAAAGTTTAAAAGGCAGGATAGCTGATGGTGAGAATGTAAGCAACAGATATTGCTTACAGTTCATATTAGCTTGATTAACGATGCATGGGAAAACCATTTCACACAAATGTCACCTTTTCTTTACCATGTCATACAAGTAACTATATAGAAGTGTTTAGAAAAAGAAAAAGCCCATCTTTAGTCTTAAGTGCTAAAATATTTTATAACCTTGTAATTTAAATTCAGTATCTCCTAGGTCCCTGAAATTGGGATCACCAGAAGCAATAAAAAGTTAGAAATTAGATGTAGTTTAGATATTAAAGGTTTTACAAATATACTGGCCACATCAACTCTGGGCATTTACCCACACTATACTGAACTTTCAGATGGGCCCCAACGTCTAAAGAGACAAACCAAGGAGGAGAAAGTTTGGCTCCAGATGGGTCATGAGTGCCAGGCCTGGGTGAAGGTCAGGTGTCAGGGGCACACACGAAATAGCATCAAACGCACGCGTGCTCAATGACCACCACCACCACCACCACACATTTTTAGTGCAACATTCTTCCTACTTAATTATTACAATAATTAGACCCCTTAGGGTCACATGCTTTTCTTTCTTTGAAACAATCTGAAGCTTATAGAAAAGTTGGAAGCACAATACAAAATCTTCTTTTCCCGAACCCGTTATAAGTAGGTTGTTGAGAGGAGGCCTCTTATCCCCAAGTACTTCAGTGTGCAATTCCCACAAACAAGGACATTCTACAGAACCTCAACATAACTTTCAAAAGCAGAGACAATTGAAAAATTAACATTTTTATATTACTACCATCGAATCCTCAGACACCATTCAAGTTTGGCCAGGCATCCCAATAATGCCCATTTTGCAAAAGGATCTCGTTCAGAATCACGTGTTACATTTAGTTTTTATGTCTCCTTCAGTCTGGAACCATTTCTCAGTCCTCCTGTGACTTTCACATAGCCTGGATACTTTTGAAGGATCCAGGCCAGTTATTTTGTAGATGTCTGTCACTTTGGGTCTCTCATGTTTGCTCTGGGTTAGATTCGGGTTATGCATCTTTGGACAGGAATAACACAAAATAACCATAGTTTTGAGTTGTCCTGTTACTGATGACATTCACTTAGGTCATTTGCTTAAAATACTATCTACCAGAATTCTCCTTTATACCGTCACATTTCTTGTTACTAGTTTCTAGAAAAATACTTTGAAATTATGTAAAAATCTCATCCCATATCAAATGTTTTATTTGTTTAAGTTGATTTATTTGAGTATGGGCTCACAGTTTCCTGCCTTATCCAGTAAGTAATAATCCATCACTAACATTTTCATTTTGATGCTCAAGTTATCCCAGATTGGACTAGTAGAAGCCCCTTCAATCTGCCTTCTGGATCCTTTTGACACGTCCCTGTCATTCTTCATAAACTTCCTTATGTTTTGGCACAAAAGATGTTCCATGGTCATCTTTTCCCACCTCAGCCCTGGAATAATCCATTTTGTGAAGGAACTTATTGAAGGTGGGGTCTGGTGGGAGGTGATTGGATTACAGGGGTGGGTGGTTTCTAATCATTTAGCACCATCCCCCTAGCACTGTCTCATGACAGAGTTCTCACAAGATCTGGTTGTTTGAAAGTGTGGAGGCCGGACGCAGTGGCTCAGGCCTGTAATCCCAGCATTTTGCGAGGCCAAGGCAGACAGATCACCAGAAGTCAGGAGTTCCAGACCAGCCTGTTGAACATAAGTGAAACCCATCTCTACTAAATATACAAACATAATTAACTGGACATGGTGGTGCATGCCTGTAATCTCACCTCCTTGAGAGGCTGAGGCACAAGAACTGCTTCAATCTGGAGGTGGAGGTTACAGTGAGCCAAGATCATGCCACTGCACTCCAGCCTGGGTGACAGAGTAAGACTCTGTCAAACAAAAAAGAAAGAAAGAAAAGGAAGGACGGACTGACAGACGGATGGAAGGAAGGAAAGAAAG